GCCAGACAAGAGGACGCTGTCCCCACAGATTTCTAGCATTGGACCATATGCGATCAAATATGCAGGCCAGCAACGAGTGTTATTTAATCTATCATGGTTTCTTAAATGAGTAGAACTGTTGATGCAAGTTAATATCCCCACAATCAAACCAACCTGCTCACCATTTCTAAGTACCTCCTATGCAGGATGGTCAGCACGGTTGCATGGGATAACCCTCGCCTCTCTAAAACAAACAAGGAGAGATGTGACCCATATCATAGGAACAGGATTGGGAGTCTTAACTAGTATAGATGCTAAAGCACTCGTAAATAGACTAAGCACAACAAGTGATCTGTACAAATTAGAACATCCATTGCAATCTTTTTGTTAGCCTTAGGAACTACTCAATGGCTTCTATCAGATACATTGCCTCAATGGGAAAAAAACAATGAAGGGGATCACCATGGATGCTCCTGGTGTAGTTCAAAGAAATGTCTCACTAGCTCTTAGTTGTATCCCGGCTGAAATGTGGATGCTATCTGTGGCAGCAGCAATTGTAAGAGAAGGTGAAGAGGGCACCTTACTCACTGAAATTCGAAAGATAGTTTGGGATAACGCAACTAAATTTGAAAGGGAGTTCCAATCTTGGTGGTATTTAGTCAGTTTTACTTATGACCTCATCAGCAACAAGGCCACAGCTTTTGTCTTAACAATATGCAATGCTTTGGTATACACCATATACCCAGTCATTGTGCTGGGATTAAATCACAATGGAACTATATTCTATCCGTTAGAGCATAGAGTATGGGCCTGGCAAAACAGAAACAAATGGCAAACTGGTGATATTAATGCATGTGTTGTACGGGAACAAGAAGGATTTATTTGTGAGAGTAATACTGTCAAAGCTCAAGATGTTTGTCTTGACAGTGAACAAAATGTTTGACGTTTCAAAATACACCCCGATGAAACCCCTGAAACTGTACGTGTATATATTGGGAAAAGATGTTTGTATGAGAACTCTTTGTGATTTTATATTTGTAGATAACATTATTGTAGATACTAGCAATAACTCAAATATTTGTGTTTGTAACGTTACTGAAATTATGGGATGTGACTTTAATTATTCAGCTCCTCTTAACTCTCATCAGTTGTTACAATCTAATTATATATTAAATCAAGATTTATTGTCTACCCCTATCGGAATGAATCTTACATTGGTGAAAAAACTGCTGCAACATAATGACCTGTGTCAGCTGCTGAAATACATCCAAAACAATGGACAAAGAACCCTAATAACTGCTCATCGTGATGCAGAAGAAATATACCATGTTCTGGAAAGAGTTAAAAAGAATAGAGAGCATTATTGATGGGAAACTCTTCTAGGATGGTCACCAACAGCAATGGGAATTTTTAATCTCATGCTTCATCCAGTTGTGATTTTACTAACTGTAGCATTATTATGTCTATTACTAATAATCATATTATATATAAGAGTTTGGTACATGATAAAGCAAATAACCCAAGTTCAGTCTCCCAAAACATATAAATTAGTATGGTAAAACTGTTTACTTGCCGGGGACCTGTAAGCATATAAATTATCAATATATTATTTATGGCACAGAGGCAAAAGGTGACCGCACCACCATGCGGTGAAGGATCAGATAAATTGACTAAAATCACTGGGTGAAGTGTGATGCTGTGCTCCCCCTTGCCCCCCAGCCTGATCGTTTGCATGTAGCCCTGCTCAGACAGTAGCCCTCAGGAAGGCTATAAACCATCAATAGCGGTCGGGATGGCTGCATCAGAGCAGAATCTGGCACAATAGCCAAGGACTAGTTGAACATGCACCAGCCAAGGTACAGCTGGTACGCATATATGCCTTTCGTCTTACCCCCTAAATAACGCTGCAGTCCAGAGCCCGTTGAGCACTCCTGTAGGGCAGCTGGCTGCACGGTGGTGAATCTCCCCTTGAAAAGGGACGCCTCTCAGGGTTACTCCTCGAGGTTGAGAGATTCCTTGCCCGCGACAGATCCTCAGTAAGTGACTAATAGCATGCTGAAACTTTGCAGACTTTGCTAAGTTACCTCTGTGATTGTGCTCTGGAGTTTAGAGAGCAAGGCAGGTCTATTCTGAACCTCATGGCTCAGCAGGAGAGTCTCCTCGATGCTTTTGTCTGACCCTGTCCTCCACGCAATAAATAATCAAGCGAACCTTGCCGTTGACCCTTGTTAAATCACTGTCTTGTTTACAATTGAACTTTGTTAAATTACTGTCTTATCTCAATAAAACATATCACTGCTTCTCTCTTACGAATGAAGTGCATCACTCCCCACTCTTCCGTGACAGCTGTACAAGTAATTTGTAGAGTTACTGTGGTTTTCCAGTTAAAATAAAATGGAAGAACTATATTACTGAAGTAATTTACTTGAATAAAGAAAGACTGAGGTAAGCAGATCATCAGGTAATTCTGGTTTTAGCCTTACTTTGTAAGGATAAAACTAAACAATGTTAAATCTTTTAGGATGATCTTTTAAAGATATTGTGTTGTTCTATCTCCTTGTCTATAGCTGCTGTAAGGAAGACGTGTTCAGTGAACTCTTGTTACAATTTCAGAGGATGTCTAGCCACGTGAAATGCTATACAGCTCAGTAATTTAACCTGAAATGCACTTAAAAGGAGTATGCATTTCCTTGAGATGTTAATGTATTCAGGCAATACAAAATACAAATGTGAATTGTGACCAATAGGCTTATAGTCAATACTAGGGAGGATTTGTTCTAGGATCTTTGCGTACCTTGCTGTTGTCTCTTCTAAGTAGGTTATGTTCATGTTAAATATCAAATGCTGTAACTTGCAGTATTGAACTGGGGTGCTATCTTAAGTTACTGACAGGAAGAGCTAAACAGCACCGATTCATCTTAGTTGGCTTTGGCTTAGAGCTCAGTATGTGAGCAAACAAGTTTTGTAATCAGGAACTATTAACCAACCTCATTTTCACCTGACAGCAAAAAAGTGTAACCAAAGGTCACCGCTTAAACTTAACTTGAGTTTCACTGTCAGCATTTGGTAGTTTGCAGTATGTCATTTCATGCGTAACGATCTCAGCCAAGAAATTCTATACATGACTGAACATGAGAGAGAAGACATCTAGCTGTAGAGCTTGAATCCTACCAAAAGAAAGAGGTGCCCGAGGCAAGGAGTTACTGAAGAGGGCCAACACCCATTCCTAGCTTCTCTTCTGTGGTTCTTGCAGCCTCTCTAGTAGGTTGGTTGGGTTTTTTTTGTTTATTTTGTTTTCCTTCTGTGTTCCTGTAGAGCTCCTTTTCTGTTCATTTTGGAAAGCTTTTTGCTTTGGACCTCTGTTCTTATGTCCTATGTAATGTTTTCTGTCTTCAGCTCAAGGACTTTGTGAACAAATTTTGTGCTGAACCACTCTACTGAATATGTGGATGCTTTTATATACTGTTTTAATTACTTGAGCTTATTTAGCTAAAATCTTACTTTACCTCATCAACTAGGAATGTAAAATGCGAAATCTGCATGTTCATGTTCTTTTGAAACTGTTCCTTTACTCACTGAGAACAGATTTTTTTTAAAAAAAGAATTGTGTTTTAGATCTTTTTTCCTCACAGACTAAAGGGGTGGCTAATGGTATGATCAGAAAGCTTGTTTAGTAGTAATAGTCAAGTTCCAAAGTCTGTTAAGTTTCTCATCGGACTTTTTGTGGTATCTTTAATTTCTAGGTAATAGTTCTTATAAGCATGCGCAAAGGGCAGGTCTAATTACTTCATCTTGTAATAGTCTGAAATTGCAATTAGGATCTTTACTGTAGCTATTAGCATGGAAGGCTTCATCTTTGAAACCTAAAACATTCTAGCTGTCATTACAACTGGAGATGCAGCTTCCCATGGATTCGGTAGAATCTCATGTGTGGGGAAACTTCAGATGTGGTCTTACCACAATTCTGCCATTTATATCACTTTTTATATGTTCTCTTTCTCTATCTGAAATCAAAAGGTTAAAATATTCATGGAAACTCTTAAGGTTAGTGGTCCTTTCAGTGCTTGGCTCTTGTGTGTGACTCTACAACTATTATGAAAGTTAATTTTCAAAATATATTTGCCAAAGCTATGCCAGGAACATGAACATAATGTTACATTTAGCAGATTTGGAGGTTTGGAGCTGTCGAGGAACTGTATTTCTCTGTAGGTGTGAATTTAAGAATCCAAAGATGAAATGCTAGGCACAGATCTACAGATGCACAAGGCTTTTTACTGATAGACATTTAAGTTATATATGTGTCCGAGTCCAATACTCTTTGATGGGGTTCTTTTAGGTATTCCACAAGTGGGGGGTTTACAGTTAAATACCAGATTAACTTTTTTGAAGTTATTTGATGTCACACTGGACTTTGATTTAGCAGAGTGATACAGCAATGTATTTAAATGACAATGCAAGTACAAACTACACTTAGCCAAGTATAGCAATTGCAATATGCAGCTGAATTGCAATACAAATGTGATTCTTGTACTGGTGTGCTCACCATCGCAACGCTGGGTGTCCCCAGTAGCTGGGATGGGGAAGCAAGGCATGCGCATTTGTGCACCCTCCCACTTTGGTCTGCCTAACTTAGGAAGACATATTTTTGCATCCTTTCGGTTAACTGAAGGACAAACAGTTGTACAGCCAGTTGATTTGCGTGACTGATACAGTGGGTTATCTAGAACAAAGACTGCTCTTATTCCCCCTGGGGTTTAGATAAGTTGAGCTTTCTTTGCAACAGTGGTGGTCAGTTACTCCCTACATCCTTCACTGAGCTTCATTGGGTGCATTGCCCTTGCCCTGCCAGTCCTCCAGAGCTTCCTCCCGTTTTAGGAGTTCATTGATTGGCCACTAAATGAAGTGTCTGATTTTTATACTTTTTGATGTTCAGAAATAATTTTTTTTGTAAGATAGCTTTTTTGGCATTGTGTATGAACACACTTTGTTTTTCAATAATTCCATCATCGTTTATATTGTAGGTCATGCAGGAGTCTCTGCTAGCATGATGAAGAAAAGAACTTCCCACAAGTAAGTTGTTAATATTTTTGCTAAAGTGTAGCTCTCAATAACTGAAAGTACTGTTCTAGAAATGTATCTGCCTTGTTGCAGTCTCTTTGCTCTTGAGAATCATGCAGAGCTGTATTTAGCCAGTATATGCGTGTACAGTCAGACTTGAATTCTTTGGGAGGGCATTAGAAAGAGCATTCTGTTGATAGAGGTCTAAACTTGGTTTTGAATATTACTCTGGAAGAAGTTTATCCTGTGAAAACAGTTCTGTACTTTACTCCAGAAATTGGAGAAAAGGGATTGCAAGCCAGAAATCAGGCATATGTACTGTTGTAGGATCTCTGCTATCTAGAAGAAACCTGATGCATTGTCACCACGTCAATATGAAATTATTCACGTGAAGTATACTTACTGAAAACCCAATTTGAATTTAATCTTAGAAATGCTTAATCTTTGGGTCACTGCAACTCTAGCTTTTGGATTCTTAACCTTTTTTTTTTAATGAAGAGCATACCGAAACACGTCTATGAGTAAGCTGCTGTTTGTGCGCAAAGGATACCTGCTTATCCTACACAGTCACGGCATGTATTTTCCCTACTACATTTTGAAATAGCAGCTAAATGTTGATGAGTAAATGTGAGAAAACAGGTAATAGTCTGGACGTGATTGATCTTAGTATCTAACAGTTAAATGTTACTTCTGGCTGTGTCTCTGATGGGAGAACTCTTAAACAAGCTGGGGATGGTGAAACTTCTTAAAATGCTAATACGTATATTTTAAGTATAAATTCCTGTAGTGGTGGTATACAGTATGCATCAACCTAAAATAATTTGTCTGGCAGGTATATCTTCTGCAATTAATTTACTTGAATGAGTATTTATCAATGTTTCCCAGGCACAACACTTGATGTAAAACTGCCCTGGTCCCGTCCACCAACTCTTCATTATCCATTCTTGCTTATCTCCTTACAAGGCAGAGAGAAACTTTGTGTGTACGAGTGCATGCGTGCGTGCGTGCGTGCGTGTGTGTGCAGAGAGAAACTTTGTGTGTGTGTGTGTGTGTGTGTGTGTGTGTGTGTGTGTGTGCGTGCGTGTGCGCACGAGTGCGTGTGTGTGTGTGTCTAGAGACAGGTAGAGTTGGTTAAAACTTAATTTCTCTTGTTCTTTTTCAACCGCTCAGAGAAAGGAGTATATGATGGGAAGACTATCAGAGGTGGGTTGCCTTTTGTACTTGAGGGTGGCTAGTTTTTTCTTTGTTGTTGCTGATAAACACTTTTTAAATACCTGAATAGGTTATGTATTTGTTAGCATGAAGGCTTTTATGGGGCATGCTAATTTGTGATCCTAAGTCACATGATTTTGGGGCATTTAACCTAAGCACCCAACTCTATTTTATATTAATTTAGTCTAGTTTACTTGATTAAGAAATGTTTAGTAAAGGTGTTATTTTGTATCAGACCGAGGTGACTTCTTGTTTTCTGCTCACTGACCTCTCTGAGAATGAGAGACTAGTATAGAGTTGTTTGTTAGTTAGGTTTTTGAAATGAACAGGTAACAGTAAGTGGAGATGGAGACGTGTTCATAGTAAACAAGTAGGATATAAATGACTGTAAAAATGTATGCTGATACTACTCGGAGCTGTTACAGCATACCACGAGTTAGTAGTGCATACTTTGTCATTGATTTATTTATGAAGACTTGTACGGTAATTATCTAAAGAAAAGAGGAACAGGTGTGGTGGCTCTTGAAGGCCTTAGGTGAGGTTTTAAACTGGACTGAGAAGGTTTGAGGGTGATGGAGGAGCCAACAGAATGGAAGAAGGCATGATCCAGAAACAGGAAAATGATCAAATGAGCTATGTAGATTAGTCTTCCAGCTCTCTTTGACTAAAATGGTAGTTAAGCATTGACTCTTTTGGAAGAGGTTCCCGTGGTTATAGGTCAGCTACAAAAGGGCAGTTCTTCTGAGTGTTCTGTCAGTGGCTAGTGATGATCTCCATGAATACAAAGTTGACCCCACTGTTAGACCAGTCAGTAGTCTTTTGGCTCTCATTCTTTCCGCCCTTGATGCATAATGAAGGAGTGTAAGTGTAAATTAAAAGACACAGTGTAAGTATAAACTAATCCTTTCCTCATATGTTGTCCGGGTTTCTTGTAGTTGGTCATTGAAGAACTTTGAGGCAGAGGTTGTACCTACAGTTCCAGTACCAGCGAATTTATCCCTTGTGAATTTCTGATCCCACTTTAAACTATCTTGTCATCTTGGCTCCTGTAGTGTCCTAAGAAGATTAATTTCACAACTGAATAATTGCTTTTCTTAGAGCACAGAAAGTGCTTTGAAACTTCTGCCTCAACCTATGTGCCTCATAGTCTGAATGTTGTGAAAAGTAGTGAATAATTCTCTGATTGCCATCCTGCTGTAGTGGCGGATAGTCTGAAGTAACATCACAACTCCAATAAGTTTTGGGCCCTGTTTTTAATAACTTTTCTGCTTGGCACAATGAAAGACTGAAGTTGTATTGACCATTGCTGTTTTCCTCCATACTATTTTATAGATTTCTGTTTTGTCCTTCTCCATTGTGCCTTTTTTGCATGTTGGAGGAGTATAGCTTTCTTCCTTCCTTCTGTGTTTTCCTTAACTTTAGTGTGTGGTGTTTTTTCCCAGATGAGATAAACAGGGAAAAAATAGGATACCTAAATGAATAACTTAATTTGATTTAGTTTATTGGTAATTGCTATGCTCCTTTTATAAATGCTGGTTTGTCTTTTAAGCATAACTCTGAAAGAATAGTTCACTGCTACCAATCCTAAGCAGTCCTGCACTACACTAGTTTTCTGGTGGTACCTGCCAAGCCGAAGTTTGTGTGAGTGCCATTTAAATACAGCCTTAAAAACTAGGAAGTCTTCTTTCTTTCTGTCTAGTCTCTAAATCTGTGAACTATCTAGTTCTGTTAATGACACTTTTCATGTAGCGCGAGGCTTTACTTACGAACTGAATGCCTTCGAGATAGGAGGGTCTGAAACTTACTGCGATCGAAGGGCCATTTGCAGTGAGGACGTATCTGATGCATCAAGAGCTATTTTCAGGAATTACTATTATTCCGTTTCCTGTCTCCATATGTTCTGTGTATCCAGGGAAATCTATTATCTCAATCTTTAAGATGAAATCTATATGGAATTTTAGAGATAATTCTAATAAACAGAAGGAAAATATTTTGTTTGTTTTTCTGACTATAGCATCTCAAAAGGCTACGTACGTTTGTGTTATTCTGCATATCACAGAAACAACATGCTAGTGAGATGAAAAGAGGTTTGATTTGGTTACTGTTGTCGAGTATGGAAGTATACTGGTAGCTATTATTTATTGTCAATTAGAAACCTATGTTTTATTTCTTATCACATGTTCAGATGCGAGGAAAAACAGTTTTTCTTTGGTAATTTATTAGTTTGAAAATCCTATTTCTTACAATATGAATGAAACAAGAATGAATGGCTATTCAGCAGTACAGCCTTCAGACAAAGAAAAACTTCAATTTTGAGTACGCCTAGCTGGTGCTTGACTTGTAACTGCATTTATAATGCTTTTTGCTCACTGCAAGGCATTTTAAAAAGTATTTACCAGTTAGAGCTCAGTTATGTAGTCTCCTTCCATCATAATCTTTAAAGTGACTGTGAAACTTTTCACTTAAAGGTTTCCATTCTAAACAGTGAGGAGCATTATATTTTATATGTTGAAAGTAAAATTGGCCGTGACCTTGAACAAACTAATTTTCCTTGTGCCCAAGGACTAGATTTCTCATCTTGTTTCTTCATAATAAAATATTACTGAGACCGTTATAATTTAGGAAGAAAAAAAAAAGGTAAGACGAATAAAAACTAGACCACCTTTTGAGATGTACAGAATTTGGAAACGTTTAAGTTTCTATGTAAAGGTAGAATCAACTTTGAGGAATTACCTTTTAACTGGAACACGTTCGTGTTCTTATAATAGTCTGTGATATCAGAGATAGGAGTATATGGTCCTCATGAAACTGCAGGCTGCTCTTGTTGAAAAGATCACATCATGACAAAAGTGAAATTTGACAAATAGTGATGTGGAGCTCCCTGCTAAGATCACAGAATCACAGAATGGCCAAGGTTGGAAGGGACCTCTGGAGATCATCTAGTCCAACCCCCCTGCTCAAGCAGGGACCTCTAGAGCACACTGCACAGGATCGCGTCCAGGCGGGTTTTGAATATCTCCAGGGAAGGAGACTCCACTACCTCTCTGGGCAACCTGTTCCAGCGCTCAGTCACCCTCACAAGAAAAAAATTTTTCTCATGTTCAGATGGAACTTCCTATGTTTCTGCCCGTTGCCTCTTGTCCTGTCGCTGGGCACCACGGAGAAGAGACTGGCCCCATCCTCTCGACATCCCCCCTTCAGATACTTGTAGACAGTGATCAGATCCCCTCTCAGTCTTCTCTTCTGCAGGCTCAACAGGCCCAGCTCTCTCAGCCTTTCTTCAGAGGAGAGATGCTCCCGTCCCCTAACCATCTTGGCAGCCCTCCGCTGGACTCTCTCCAGTAGTGCCGTGTCTCTCTTGTACTGGGGAGCCCAGAAGTGGACACAGCACTCCCAAGTGAGGCCTCATCAGGGCTGAGGAGAGGGGCAGGATCACGTCCCTCCACCTGCTGGCCACACTCTGCCTCATGCACCCCAGGATACTGCTGGCCCTCCTGACCACAAGGGCACACTGCTGCCTCATGCTTGACTTGTTGTCCACCAGCACTCCCAGGCCCTTCTCGGCAGAGCTGCTTTCCAGCAGGTCAACCCCCAGGCTGTCGTTTGGTATCATCAGCAAACTTGCTGAGGGTGCACTCTGTCCCTTCCTCCAGGTCACTGATGAGTCTGTTGAACGAGACTGGACCCAGGACTGGAACAAGACTGGACTCCTGGGGGACACTGCTAGCTACAGGCCTCCAAGTAGACTCTGCATCACTGATCACAACCCTCTGAGCTCTGCCATTCAGCCAGGTCTCCATCCACCTCAATGTCCGCTCATCTAGCCCACGTTTCCTGAGCTTGCCTAGGAGGACGTTTTGGGAGACAGTGTCAAAAGCCTTGCTGAAGTCCAGGCAGACAGCATCCACTGCTCTCCCCTCATCGACCCAGCCACTCATTCCATCACAGAAGGCTCTCAGATTGGTTAAGCATGATTTTCCTTTGGTGAACCCATGCTGACTACTCCTCATCGCCTTCTTTCCTCCATATGCTTAGAAATGACCTCCAGGATGAGCTGTTCCATCACCTTTCCCGGGATGGAGGTGAGGCTGACAGGCTTGTAATTTCCTGGGTCTTTCAAGATCCGTCTTCACGGAGAATGAAAGTCTGGAGGGAGCACAAGCTGCTGAAGAAATTGTTTTCTATTAAAGATCTTGTTTTTAATAGTTAGGATTAAATCTTCTGCATTATGCGTTCTAATATCCTACAGCACTTTCCTTATTCTGTAAGACTGCTTATGTGATTTCACCGGTACGAATGCTGTTTATCTTTTTTGGATCTCTGTCGTACAAGGACTGTTCTGCTCTGAAAGCTTTTATCATCCCTGGAGACATTTTTTTTTTGGTCACTATCAGTAGTCTGAGGAGGAATGTTGTTTTTTGCAATTAATAGTAATGGATAATTCTGCAACTGAATAATCTTTTTTAGATGTTACTTTTAAGCATGCTAGTGTGTTGTGCGTATTTAGCTGTCATTTAAATTAAGTATGCTACAAGGGGTAACTAATCCAGAAATTTGTTTTTGAACTAGTTAACATTTCTGTGAGTGTTAATCGGACAGCCCTCTAAATACAGTTTTAGGAATGATTGTGTATTGTAACATGCGAAAATATATATAACGTGCATATCTTGTCAGCAATATACTGTAGTAATATTCGTATGTTTCTTCTGTTTGTATTCAAAACTTTCTATGATTTTTGTTAATAACTGAGTAGAGTAAAATTTGTGTAACACTGTTTCAGTGGTTTGAAAGTGTCCGATAGCTTACATGACTGCTCATCAGAACAGCCAATGGATGTTCACCAGAGGTAATCTTTTGGTGCAAGTTGCATAAAGAAACATAAAATACCAAGGAAGAGCAAAAAGTGCATTTAGTCCACTTTCTCTTTTAAGAAGTATTTCTTCTGTTGCTGTTCCCTTTGTATATTTTTCTTGTGTTATGCTAAAAAGGAATGTTAGAGGAATGTTGTTGCTACCATGTGTCTTTAAAAACGTTGGAAGTCAAAGAAATCTTTAAGCACAGAGGGAAGCTAAATTTCCTTCAGGTTCCTCAGAGAACACAGGTTAGGGGGAAAAAAAGTACCTGGGAAGAATTTTGGTCCACCACCACTGTTTCCATTGCTTTCCTCCTCCTGGGGTAAGGGTTTTATGTTTACTGTTCTGCAGAGAGCAACGAGGTAACAGAGTTGTAATACTTTCTGGTAACTTTGCTCTTTGAGACCTGTTTTAGGGTTTTAACAGGTGAGTTCTACTTTTGACATTCAGTGTAGCAAGGGCTAAAGTAGTTCTTCGGTTGAAGCAAACTCACTTTGGAAGCTTATATTATGAAAGCAACCTTATACAACATCTCAAAAGTGTTGCACTACTTTTTAGTGTGGGGGATTTTTTTTCTTTTTACGGTGCTGTATAATAATATGCTTTAAGCCCTCATTTGAGTGAGGTATGCTGTTACACACATTAGAATTTAATATATCTTTATAATTTTGGCTTATTATATGTAAACCTTGCCTTCTGAAAACAAAGCATGTAGCTCTTATCCAGAGTAGAATTTTGAATATGTGCTTTTTTTAATACTATGTTTGTATCTGTGTACAGAAAGCACAGAAACAATGTGGGACCAAGCAAACCCATTTCTCAGCCACGAAGAAACATTGTAGGCTGCAGAATACAGCATGGATGGAAAGAAGGGAGTGGACCTGTAACACAGTGGAAGGGCACAGTTCTTGATCAAGTTCCTGTAAATCCCTCTCTCTATCTTATAAAGTATGATGGATTTGATTGTGTGTATGGACTAGAACTGCACAAAGATGAAAGAGTTTCAGCACTTGAAGTCCTTCCAGACAGAGTTGGTAAGTGCTTTTTTCCTATGCACACATACACATATGTTGACATTTAATAGTAAATGTTCTCCACTAATCTCTCCTGACTTTTCCCTGAGATAAAAGTTGAACATTTGAATTTTATTAGTTGAATTAATTTTTGTCACATGGCAGGTAATTTAAAGCTTCTATTTAAATTTTCTTGATTTCACAAAGATTTGGTGATACCAGAGAGTGTAGTCCTGTCTTTTGTCTTTAAATGGCCTGCAGGATATTCTGTAGTCTTCCTCTTCTTAGGGTAAGAATCTAAAGAAGCTCATCTAAAACCTCATCATTGAGGTTTCTATTAAAACTGAAACTCTGAGCCAGCTGAGGATTGTCTTGACTATACATTATCTGTTCTGTGTCTTTGACAGTGATGTCACCTTTTTCCCTGTGTACATTCCTGAAGTATTAATTTAAATTGAAAAGAAGCATTTTCTAAGTGAAGTAACTTGACTAGTAACCAGACTTACTGGTTTTCATAATTAACACTGGATTGTTTAACTACAGTTTTTTTCAAACAGTCAAGTTCAAAAGGTTCAGGGGAACTAAACCCAAAACCTTCATTAATAAATTTGAAGAGCTGCATTGTGATGGCCCCCTTTCCTCCCCCTTCCCCCCCAAGTGTGTATTTAAAAGACATCCCTTCTTCACTGCTGTAGTCTTGATTGGTTTCTCTTCAATACCTTGCGTTATGATAGTTTGTCTAATCTGGAGGGTGCAGTGATGGAAAATCTTGATAAGGATTATTTTAACATGTTACCGTTCCTAAAGTTCTGCAATTCTTTAATATTAAACGCTCTGGAATAGACATTGTTTTGTATGTGAATTGATTTAAGTTTGTCATGAAGCTAGATAAAGATTATTTTTGACAAGACTCCTCTGCTTTTAAATGGACTTATTATGTATGAACTGCTGTCATTTTAGCTTCATCTCGAATTAGTGATGCCCACCTGGCAGACACAATGATTGGCAAAGCTGTGGAACATATGTTTGAGACAGAGGATGGCTCAAAAGATGAGTGGAGGGGGATGGTCTTGGCTCGAGCTCCTATTATGAACACATGGTTTTATATTACCTACGAGAAAGATCCTGTCTTGTATATGTACCAACTCTTAGATGATTATAAAGAAGGTGACCTTCGCATTATGCCTGATTCCAGTAAGTAGACCGGTTAATTCTTTGTTCCTCTCGAAGGTGGCAGCTCTCTTTTGGCTTATCATTTATTTATAGAAAGGAAAGATGTAAAACGGAGTAACAGACGAGATCCTTAAGTATCACAACTAACAAAGGTTACAGCACAACTGAAAATAAATCTATTTTAAACAACTTTTGGAATATTTTACTTTAATCAATGATGAGATCTGCAGTACATACAGGAAAATTGTTTTCTGTAATTATTCCTAATTCTGATGAAGGTAGGCCTACTACTGTGGGAGAGATTACACTGTATTTTTTTATGGTCATTGGCAAGCTAGAAGCCTTCCACTGTTTTTCTTGCAGAAGTATCCCAGCTCCTTGAGATGACTCTTGATTTGTACTTCTGAAGCAGTTCTCATAAGAGTAATATTTGGGGACCAACTAATATAGTCAGATTAATTTTGAGTAGGTATCTTTGGTTTGGAAGATTTTGGGGCAGTTTCTTGGAGGAAAGAAACACTAATCTTTTTGAAAATTTATTTTCTCTCACCTGTTTAAACATATTAGCAGGAAAAATGTTTCAATAGGTTAGGGCTATTTTCTCTTTTCCTCTTGAACTGAAACTATTTGAGTTTTTCCTGCTAATAGAGAAGGATTTCTCGCAGAATTTGGATGGCCAGTACAAAAAAGAGGATAAAAGACTGCAAAGCATTTTCTACTCTTATTTCTCCCCTGCACCTAAAAAGCACATCACTGACAGTGAATTTTGGCTTTATAGTAAATTATTAATTAGATAGTGTTTTCTGGTTACACAATGCACTACGTAAGTATTAGTTACAATTCACTCATTGAGTTTCTGAGACTGTTTTCTGTCAGATCTGGCATTGTGATAAATAGTCTGTTGGCTGGATAAACAGGTGGGGCTGATTTGCCTAACCTCTGTAGTAGTCTTACGTTTTTAGATTTTTTTCCAACCTAACAAAAAACAACATATCTGTGGCTTTAAAAGAATGAGCTGCAAATGTTAACAGAAAAAAGTGACCTTCCTATTCCTAAAGGAAAAAACGAAACAAAGTTTTTCGGATTTGGCACAAATCTGTGCCAAGTAATGTGTTTGCTGTCTAAAATATTAAAAAGGACGTGGGAGGTATTTTAAAATTCTTTTTTGGTAGGCTGCTTTTTAGGGAGTTGAAGTCTGCTTTTTCTTGCGCCTTAGAAAGATAAGGGAAAAGGCTTATGTGCTTTCCATATTTAAGGATTAACTGTTTTTAATGCTCATCCTGAGACCATCTACTATTTACCTCTGTTTCCAAGACACTCTGAAGTATGAACTACCTTTTCTGAATCAGAATACTTTTCAGATAATTAGCGTTATGTTCTTAAGTCAATGGTTGGCAGCATTTTTCAAATAGGATTTTAATTTACCTGGGAGTAGATCTATACACTTGGTAGAATTTACCATAATGTTATGGTTAGAACTTTCAGAGTTCTTAGCCTCTTTTTCTCTTCTCAAGTTGTCTTTGCATATGTGCAGAGATAGCACTGTAGATGATATCTTTAAAGCTTTTTTGATGAGAGGGAGAATGTTATGCTGGGTCCAATACTGAAACTGTCAACACTTCATAATTCCTTACAAATTGAAATGTAAGAGTTTAACTTGCATCTTTTGCCAAGGAACGTACTTTATAAAGATCTGGTATTAAGAAGATGATGACTATGTATGACAATGCATTCATAGAAGAAATGGAACAAAACTTTATGAAGAAACTTATTAAGTTTGGAAAGATGTTTGACAGCCTCAGTTCTATCATAGTTTGCGGTCTGTGGCTGGTGGGGGGAGCACAAGGAGCCATCTGAATCTCTAGTTTAGCGCTGATAGCTACAGCGTAACAATTTGCATGACATAGTACTGTTGGCCTTATTCTCAGTGTTCAGTTTGGGTTGACTAGCAAGTAGTTTAGTGCAGAATGCTGAATAAGTGACCAAGAGCAGTGAATCATTGAAACAGGCAGATGTTTGTATCTCATTTTTTTTTCCTGTCAGAGATGCTCTTGAATAATGAGCCATCGTTTAAGAAAAAATAGCATCATAAAAAACAATTCTACTTTAGAATTGGGTATGCACTTTGGTCGTCATAATACCAGATTGCATTAGGGTTTGTGAAGCTGTCATACTGCTTCATTTGTAAGGGCGAACTGATTTCTAAATGTAAGTAGGTCAAGACAATCTATTCACTCCCAATTTTTTTTGCAACTCACTGAATTGAAAGGAAGATAGCTGCAATCTGTAAGAGATTCCCAACTCAAACTCAGAACAGGGACATTAATTTAAAGGCTTGGGTTTCCCAGAGTAAAAGGCACAGCTGTCTGGCCATTACTAAGAAAATTCCTTCCTGGAATGCAAAACACAAGTTTAGCTCTCCCTATTCATACAGACAGCATGCTGAGAAAGAAGGTGCAGTTGGTTGTGGTTGGGTGTGGTTAGTTTCCAATTCTGTGGTACAATGCTATCTATACCTTTTATCCCATTTGTTCTGTGATTGGCTTATAACTAACCCCTTGGAAATTAGCAGATTGTTATAATAACGCACATTATAATAGCGCACCTCTTTGTATCCAGACTTGCCATAGGCCTTGTCTAAAATCTGAGGATACTTCTGGGTAGATTTTACTCGATGAGCAAATAATATAGTTAAAGACTCTAGGAAACTTAGCATCCATTCCAGTGTAGAGTCAAAAACCCCTTTTAGTAGCGTTATTGGTTGTGGAAGTTATATTTATTATCATTTTAGAAGATATGTTTTTGTGGGAGCAGCACGCTTGCATTGAAATTTTGAATGAAGTGTGCGGGGAGAGAGGTTTTATATGACTCCTTTCTGTTAAAGGGGCCCCCCCGATGCCTTGTTTTGCTGTGGGCTTAAGTTCAGTTATCTTTGTTTCTTGTAACTTGTGTGTTAAGTGTATCTTTTGACATAAAGGTTATCTAACCAACTGAGATGTCATTTTTACCTTCATAAAACTAAAGGCAGTATTGCTTAAAAAAAAAAACATCTGTGGTCATACTTCCTAGAAGCATAACAATAGTTAGGTGTTGGGCCAACACAACTTGTATTGGACATATTCAGCATTTAAGACTTGTGATATTTCTTACACATCTTAAGACTTTGCAGGTGTTTTCTATATTGAAAAATCCATAAATATCTACCAGAGCCCATTGTGTTTTTGTATTGCAGATGATTCACCTCCTGCAGAACGGGAACCAGGTGAAGTTGTGGACAGCCTGGTAGGCAAACAAGTGGAATATGCCAAAGAAGATGGCTCAAAAAGGACTGGCATGGTCATTCATCAAGTTGAAGCCAAACCATCTGTCTATTTCATCAAGTTTGATGATGATTTCCATATTTATGTCTACGATTTGGTGAAGACATCCTAGACGTCATCGTGAACTTTTGCCAAATTTGTGGAACTATTAAATGTAAAATTTGTAGACACAAAGACTTGACTGCTTTCCAGTTTAATGAAAGCTTAAATGTCCCTGCGAACCCACAATCTCTGCCAGCAAAACTGTTTTGTTCTGAATAATACAAACAGATTTATGTGAACGTGACACATTTTGTGTGTGAGAACTCCTTTTCTTGAAGGAAGTCAATATATTTGGGCGGGAGGGAGTTAAAAGCAAAGAACAGCTGCAAATTCAAGCTGTGTAAAGTTGATCTAGTATTGTAATCATTAATCTAAATTTTTTCATAGATTTTAACTTTTTCTTCAACCTTGCACTCACCTGTTCAACTGCCACATGCAAGTGTAGTTTGATATTTTTGATATGCCTTCTTTTGTAACATTAAATTTAATTTCTTGGCTACTGGCAGTCCTTGTTTTCAGGGTTGGGTCAGAGGTGACTTTCCTGAAAGGTATAAATGGTTTGTGAAGCATTAAGGAGTGCCTAACCCAAGTAACATCAATCTACTGTGTTTCTACACTTTATTTCAAATTTAGCTTTTTAAGAACTTGCAGTACATGGAAATACTTGTGCATTTTTAGTAGTCACAGGGCAGTAGGATATCAAGTGTTTGACTTATGCACCTTTCAGTGAAAAGGCTTTAAACTATAAAAATATATTTAATCTGTATAACCAGTTAATTAGAAAATGCAGGTTAATGGCCCATATTTAGAAGTCGTAGGAACCAGTAATATACACGCAACAAGGCTGCCTTCAGTCCTAAATGTTGTACTTCTTTATTTGTTTTGTTATACACACTTCTCAGCAAAACCCAAGTGCTTGGTGCCACAAATTAATGTAACAGTGTATATGCTACTCCAGAAGACTTTAGACTACGCATTGGCAATCAGTAGTCTCTCATTTAATATCAGAACCTAGCAACCTGAGTGTTTGTGTGTGGACTCAGAAGCCTAACAGTAGTTAACCTTAAACATGGTAAACGCAGTCTCGTGGCGGGGAAGGGGAAAATCGTTTTACCTTGAAGACTTACTTTAGAGAAGGAGAAGCATTTTTTGCCTTCTGCTCAGTCTGCTGCATTTCTTTGTTGTTGTTGTTGTTGTTGTTGTTTCATTTTGTTTTTGTTTTTTGTTTGTTTGTTTTCTTTTTTTTAAAAACCATTTATTTTCAAGAAGGCATCTACCCAACATATTCTTTTTTCTGGCTTTTCCACATAAGGAGTGTCCGGACAAATCTACAGCTTAAACCTGTTGTTGCCTTTTGTGGTGTACGTTGTACTTGCTTTGAGGTATGCTGTTAACGTGAATTTCATTCTACGAACACTAGAGTTCTGCATGCCAGTGGTGTACTATCTAATGGAAGCTATAGGCAGTCTCAGTGGTTCAGTCATCTGCATTAGGCTGTGGATGTAAATAGCAGCCCACGAGAGCGGAGTCCTTTCACAGTTTTAATCTTGCAAGATAGTTGTAAATCAAGGTTAGTTTTTTTTTAAGTGTGGCAGCTTTTAAAAGTATCAGAATTGCAACAATGATCAGCACAGCAACAAAATTGTCATGTTACATTAAGGCAGAGCTCTGCAAGTTTCAAAGTACTGCTTCACAGAAATGCAGTGTGTGAAGACAGTCAGCACTGCTGATGGAAGGAAGGAATACAGTTATCCAACCTTATGCCGTTAGTGGAAGGGATAGCAGGAGAGGTGCTGTTAATCAGAGATCAGAGGTCCGGATGACCTCAGTTGTGGGTATTCTTGATATCGAAGACTCAGTGGTTTAAGCCCCTTTCTGTCAATTTTTTTGCCTGATTTCATATTTTAGCCTTAAGGCTTGTGCCTCATTATGCTGTTGAATGGTAATAAATACTCATCATATAAATATGATACCTTAATTCTTTGTCCATGGCTACTATATTGCATTATGTCCAGTATTTCATCATGGGCAACCAAAGGCAGGCTATTGTCTTTCAGTGAATAGCTTCTCAATGCAGTCCTTAAGCACTAAGTACCTGAGTCGTAAATGTTCCTTGTGTTTTGAACAAAGTGAGCAGATTTGCAACACAGTGTTTTCATCCTGCAGATCTGTTATGTGTTTTCTATTGACTCTTAAGAGTCCTGCATGTAAATCTCAAAGCTGAGCCTGGCTCCATGAGCCCAAGTTGATATTTGTGGCACAAGAATGAGTGAGTGTATTGATTATACACAAGATACATGAATAACTTAGTACAGTGAATTTTGGGCTACACATCTAAGGAATACAAGGTTTGTTTTGAAATATCTGAGGTTTAGGTCTACTGAAACATTTTTAGCGTTAGGCTTGCATTTGTGGGTTTTCTGCAAGCCGCTTTAATACACCACATATTCTGCCAATTAGAGTATAATCTATAAACTGTAAATTTTATGGTTGTTTTTAGATGTCCCCGTTGTCTGTTGCGTGGGTTTTTCTTTTCATCCTTTTTTTCTTTTTCCTTTTCCTTTTTCTTAAAATTTCTTTTGATAGCTTAAACCACCTTTTTGAGGCTTGAGACTAATTCCACTCCCTGCCCATCTGCTTTGGGCTTTGTTTTAGGCTCATGTTTCAGATCTGCATGCAGTGCTTGCGTTACCCTGGTAACTAAATGTTGGTTCCTTGTTCTAGGGGTTCAACATTACTTTCCAAAATTATCATAGGGCTTGTGATGGCACAAGCTATGAATCTTTGTATAAAAGTTATTGGCCTTTCTCATTTACCTGCTGTAGTATTGTTGTATATTGTGTGTGTGCGTGTGCGTGATGTCAGGCTGCCATGTAAAACTTTGAAAAACGAAAAAAAACTTAAATGCAGACCATCCTTTTTTGCATGCTTAGAGGGTTAGAACGTTCAATGTAACAAACTAAAGTTGCATGTTAAAATGTTTAGGTTTTGGTTTTGTTCTGTTTTTATTTTGTGTTCAGTTTTTTGTGAATTTGCTTATTGTGCTGTTTTAATGGTTGTTAGTAGGATTAAATGCACCGGTGAGGCGAGCATAGTGCCAACGGAAGGTAATTTTCCAGTTGTATGTGTCATACAGCATTTGAAGGGACCATGTATTCTGTTCAAGAATAAATAAAATCACAATTGATTAGCAAAACACTACATTTTTTTCTTCTTTCTTTTGAGTGCCAAACCCTAAACTAAGTTAGAGTAGACTACATGAAGACTGAAATACTTTGGGGAAAACCCTCTTTATTGCAACAGGTAGAAGCCTTCTATAAATGCGTTATTTAAAAATGGAGGCTTTATCTTCTTATCTTTATAGATAGAATTGACTACAGTCACTTCAGGGAAAAAGAATTATGGTTAAAAACAGTTTCTGGTTCCTTGAAAATGCTGTGCTTTTTGTATTTTACATCATTAGTGCAATTTGGATGGTTCTTGGTATGTGTATAGTTCAAAGGTCTTCGTGTTCACATTTTAAAATTAGGTAATGACTTCATCTTTAGAGCTTGGTTTCATTATTTTTATTTTATTTTGAACAATGTAGACAGTTCCCTGTTCTCTGCATTTAGAAGTATAAACACTTTAAATCTGTTACTTAATTCTGTAAGTAATTTTTATAATTATGATGTAACTCTATCCTTAAAACATTTAAAATAAACCCTTTATGTGCAACTTATGACTGTAAACTTTGTTCTCATGAGCAAAATGTAGTGATGTGATTTCAGATTGTGAAGAAGCAGTTTCTTCAGTTTTTTAATTAAAAAGGGATCTGTTATTTTAATGTTGAGCCATGTATGCTGGTATAATACTTTCCCTGTGAAATAAGTTTGCTTATTGAACCAGGTCTTTATTCTTTTATGCTAAGTAAGTATGAATGTTGATCAGAAGGAATTTGACTGAGGTAAAGCATAAAGCTTAAACTATATTTCACCAAAGGCACAAAAACTCCCCTTCAGGGGGCTATGCAAGTCTGTGAAGGAGCCTCTCTTTCTAGAGCACATCACGGCTCACACTGTTAGCAGTAGTTCAGCAGTGGGGAACACTAGAAGCATTTGTCAGTGTTGAGGTGATATGTTTGTCTGCTTTAACTTAATGTGCTTAACTAAATTTTGAATTTTGTTTTACTCACTGTAAAAAGTAGAATAGAGCCAAATTAGCGGTGACGAACAGTGAAGAGAGTAATGTAACAATGCTGCAGATTTTCTTAAGATGGGTAAGTTCATACTAACGCATGAAGACTTAGTTCTTTTATGTTGTTAAAGGGTAAATTACCAACCCTGACTGTGAATACTGACATGAAGAGATTGTCATTATTCCTCCCTCTTCCCTGATTTTAAAGGAGAAAGTCAGGCTGCTTATATGGATACCCCCAAAATATATTTTTGGCACCAAGCTTAGCAAGTCTACTAGAAGTATTCCGAAGCTGGTGCAGCGTATTGGCGGTGCAGTTGGGATCAATACCCAGGCCTCTTCAGTTCCCTTAGTTCAGTGTCCTGCTTACTGTGTTCTGTTGCCTAAGAAACTGGTCCCAATGAAGGTTTATGTTCTGCTTATATTCTTCTAATTAGGGAGAGTCTAAGGCTTTGCTTAACAAAAGCATCAGATTCCAAAAGCAGATGTTAATCTACGTGAGCCTTCTGCCTTAAATTACAATTAAAAAGCACGGATACTAAAATTTTACGACTGTAATGCCTGAATCTGTTCTACGTTGCAGCTGGTAAACCAAGCTCAGTCCTGTAGCATCTCTTTTGCCCCTTTAGAGGGGAAGGAGCTTTCTAAAAGCAAAAAGACATTTTGTTCTCAGTGATCATAGTAATGCAAACTGCCTCTGAAAATGGGTTGCTCAGGAGGGGGTTTACAGGCAGTGCCGAGGTCTGTGCCTTGAAGGCAGTAACATCTCTCAGATTTAGGAGGTGAGGAGAGGGATCCTTGCTGGCACAGCAGCTTTAATCCATAATACTGTACTCTGTTTTCACATCTGTTGGAATTCTCCTTGTGCCTATAAACAGCTTAAATTTGCAAAAAGAAATAGCTTGTTCTTTTCTTTGCTCAGTGAGGTAATTATTTTGAAATTATTTTTTGTAATACTCATGCTGCAAGTAACTGAGCTACTGATGACTTTGGTAGAGTCTTGTTTTTAGGAAAGAATGAGCTTTTGTAAGGGTACTCTTGAGAACCTTGGGCTGCTGCACTTCACGGTTGAGAAGTACTAAAAGGAGAAGTAAGAACAAGGTTGAGGGGAAGACAGGTATGTTCTTCCATCCTCTGGCATTGGGTAATAAATGATGCTAGCTTTATACATTTAGTGGGGTTGTTTTTTTTTTTTTTTTCCTCAGTCTGATTCTGCTTTGCTTTTCTAGCAAGGAAGTTTCTGCCTTGACATGTTATATCATTTAACTGTTTTTTTTTTTTTCTGCCAGTATCAATATTCTACCATTTTAAAAGTCATTTTTAGGATTGGCAGACTGGGAAAAGTTATCAGGCTTCTAAGCATTCTTTTCAGGCTCTCTTCTTCCCATGTTACTAGTTCCGCTGCTCTGAATTAATTTCTCTTCCAAATTTGAAGCACAGAAGCAGTTTATGCACAACATGCAGCAGCTGAGGTCTAACCATTGTAAATGAACTGGTGTCTGCCTAACGCTTTCCTGTCTTTCCTCCTCTATTTGGATGTTAACGTTTCTGCTGTGTGTCCCTTTTCTTAATTTACTGTTACGGTTTACATATTTCGGTTGTAGAAAACTTGTGCAAATGGCTTTTGTAGCCTGACAGTTTAAATACCCGTATATTTTGGCACATTTTTTAAATCAATCCTTAAATTTATTTGTATTCCACAAAGTCCTTTTTTAACATCTCTATGCTTTTTGATGCCACGTTGTTAATCAGGTCTGTACCCAAGACCGACCTGTTTGAAGCAAACTCTGGCAATGAATATAGACCTCTGTATGCTTACTTTCATTTCAGCAATCCTATTTTTTCTTGAGCATGTTCCACCTAGACTAATGTTTGAGAGAATTGTTTTTGTTAATAAATTAAGATAATCACTGCAATTTAAAAGGACATTTTACACTACTTTAAATGCACATTCAAATTAAATCGATGCAATGTTATGTAAGCAATCACTGTTTTAGGAGGGAGGGCTGTTTTGTTCCTAGGATGTGTAATAATAGTTTATGTGGAA